GTGAGCTGGAGGGAGGGGAAGGCTAGGACAGAATGAACAGGGTGCTGTAGGTCAGGATAGAAGTGCACTGACTGAGTTCTGGGGTGGGGGTGGAGGAGATGCTGCAGAACAGGACTGATCCCGGGCTGGGGGACCTGATCCCCACAGTCACTATAGCAGAGTAAATGATGCAAATAAAGAGCACCAAGTTTGGGTTTCTCTCTGGAATGAATATGGCTGCACATGGCTGGCCTGGTTGTACGTCCCCCCCTCCAAACCCAGCCATGGCTGTGGGGCCCTCATGCAGCCAGGTACAAATGCAGGGGAGCTGGGGGGCGGGGCGGGGCAGGGCCTGGGAGCTCGTCCCTGCTGCTGTCCTGTCAGTCTCCGTTCCATGCCTCCCTCTTGCATCCCCTCCAGGGCCCTTGTAGGCGCTTGGGCCACGGACACATCGTGGGTTCGTTCGCTCCCCGCCGAAATGCCGCCCCTCCTCTCGGTGCATTAAAGGGGCTCAGCTCAGGCTGTGGCTGGGCAGTGATCAGCCAGGCCCTGGGACGGGACTGCGCCCCGCTTAGTGCCCTCCCCCTCTCTGCACCCAGGAGTTCAGCCACCCCGTGGAGAGCCTGGCCCTCACCGTGGAGGAGATGATGGACGTGCGCAGGGTGCTGGTAAAGGCCGAGATGGAGAAATTCCTCCCGAGCAAGGAATTCTACAACAGCCTGAAGAAGGGGAAGGTGAGGGCTGGGGATGGGATGGCACTATGGCCTCCCTGTGAGCGACTGCCTGGGGTCTAGGGCGTGAGCGTGTGTGGAAAGGGCCAGCAGACAGCCCCTGGGGTGTAGGGATCCTACCAAATACAGACCATGACCGTTTACCTCGGCCCTTCTCCACCTACAGATATGCTGCTGCTGCAGAACAAAGTTCCCTTTGTTTTCTTGGCCCCAAGCCTGTCTCTTCTGCAAGAGGTGAGCGAAAGGTCCCCTGCTTTGGGGGGCGGGTGCACGTGGGGCAGGGGAATGAGGTTCTTTACTGACCCTTAGGATTCTCTCTCCGCTTTTAGATCCGTCTGCACCTCCTGCAGCCTGAAGGTAAGAGACGCTTCATGAATCAGTCCCAAGAGAACCATCCGCATTGTGCCCATTGCCTGGGGCCTCCTGCCACTTTATCTGTGGGCACCTGCACCTTGTCTCATTTTTGGACACTGTCGTTCCCCCCCCCCCCAAAGTAGCAGGTCCGGCAGTGATCTCAGAGTGCAGCGTGCCAGTGGGATGGTGATGGGGCGGGCCCTGGAAGCCCCGCAGTGGGCATGTGAATGTACCCGCTGTGCCAAGGCGGAGCAGTGCTGAGCTGGCTGTGGGCTGGCAGCAGAAGGGCAGGCACTGTGGCATTTTGGGGCCCCTGCTTAGCTAACTCCTGGCCACTATGGTCCCCCCACCATGTAGGACACTGGCCATAGCACAGTGGGAAGGGTCAGGGGGCTGATTCTTTGTGGCCCCCCCATATTTAACCAGGGGTGCTGGACCTCCGGGTGCTGGGGGGGAGGCTGCTGCCCCCCCTGGCTTGAAGTGGTTTCCATTATCCACAGGGTTTTGTTTTGTTCATTGGCTCTCAGCACCCTCTGTACAAACTGTTACAACGCCCCTGCATTTAACTGACTTGTAACCTTCGGGCCACCGCTCCCCACCTCTGCTGCAGGAAGTGGCCTGGTCAGAAATGACGCGGACACGGGGGGACCCTCGGTGGGGGGAGCTGGGGCCTGTGGGAAAGCATTTGCTTGGAGTGATGCTGTGGTTGTGTGAGCTCAGTGCCGAGAGCCGTGCTAAGCACGTTGCGGTCCCTCCTTGAGCACAAGCTGGCACAGAACGTGGCCCAATCCCTGCGTAAGTCACCCAGCTTAGGTGAGCCGTGATCTCAGCCAGGAAATCCTCTGGGTGGGAACACAGGACTTCGGCTTCAAGCTGGCTCACTTTTGTGGCTACTTCTGGCCTGGGGAACTTGCCCCTTTTCCCCGTGTCAGGAACAGGAAAGGACATACGTGTTGGTGCAGCTGTGCCGGACGGCCGGTGGCCATGGCAGCAGCTCAGAAAGTGCCCAGGTGCCCACCTGACACTGACCTCTGCTGCTTCTCCTGCAGATTAAGATGCCTTCGAAGAAGCTTGCTCACATTCCCGTCTACGCCCTGGGCTTCGAGAACCTCCCCGGATCTCTGAATGCCAAAGCTCTGCTGCTGAGGAGGAGAGACGCCTTCCAGTAAGTTCCCCCCAGTGCTTCCCGCCGCCCCACCCCGGCTCTGCAGCAAGGCCCTCGTCCAGTACAGGGGGTGCGTGGCCTCTCCAGTACAGCCTTCCCGCTGCTGGCACCTGGTCCCAGGATCTGGAGCCACTGGACAAGGGGCCAGATATCAGGAGAGACAGAGGCAGGGTGACCTAGAGGCCTGAGGCTGCATTGGCTGAAGCCATGGGGGATGTGAGGAATGCAGAATCAGGCCCCTGGGTGATGTAAGTGTCTGTGCTAGCAGCGCCCAGTGCTAAAGCCGTGGTGCAGCCCCCGCTGGCGGCAGGGTGGGGTGGGGGACGGGACGGACTGGGACGAAGTGAACCGTTAGTCTTTCCCCTATGTAGCTGGGCTGATGGGCACCGCAGGCCGTAGCGAGCCGGGCATCCCTCTCCAGCTCCCACAGACATCTGAAAATGGCCCTTTGGCAGAGGTGGGGTGTATTGGGCTGGCCCTTCTCCAGCCAAACCCAGCTCTTTGTTTCCTGGCGGTTCCTGTGCAGAGCGTTGGGTTGGTTGCAGAGCTCCGTGCACCCCGGGCAGGGCACGAGACAAACCAGAGTGGGGAGCACCATCGTCACGTCTCCTCCCAACACAGCCATGCCCTGTGCTGGTGTCTTCTCTGCCAAGCAGCTGTCCCCTACCATCTCCCTGACCCCGCCTTGGCCAGGCTTCCTCTCTGACTTAGACACCTGGCTCCCCTTCTGCCTTCCCTCACAGTCCCCGTGCCCTCCTTGGCAACTTCGCCCCCACCAGTAAATCCCTGAGCACCCCCGACTCTCACCTCCAAGTGTGACCTTCCGCCCTGGCTTGGCTGCTGCCTGCCCTGGGCTCGCCAGGTGCTGTTCCCTCTCATCTCTCAAGAGCTGAGCTCCCTCCTCACCCCCTGCAGTGTCACTCACTGCGTCTCTAACCCACCCTTCCATGATCTCCAATCTGTCAAGGCCCACCACCGTTCAGCTTCCTCCCCCACAATGCAGACATGCTCTGGTCTCCTCCCTTGTCAAACCCACCCACCTCCCCATCCCCTCCAGGCTCAGTGATCCTGCTGGCTACAGCCATTGCCTTGAATCTCTCCTCTAGCTCCTTCCTGGACCCTCTAGTCCAGCTGCAGCTTCTCCACTCCACCAAACCCGCTCCCACCAACATCTCCAGCCACCAACTCCTGGCTAAGTCCAAGGGCTGTATTCCACCACACACTTCCTCGACCTCTAGAATGCTCTACGCTCCTGTGTGCCGTTATGTGCTCCCTGAATTTTCATGGCTCCGGGCCCTCCTGGTTTTCATCCTACCTCTCTGGCTGTTCCTGTGCGGTCTGATTTGATGGATCCATCTCCAACTTCCCTTGCATGTTACTCCTGGGAGAATTCTGCGCCACTGCGCATGCAAAGTATTTATGTCCCCCGCAAATTTCTATGCTTCCCTGCAGAAAAATGACTTTGTGATGGGGAAGCAAAGGGAAACCACAAGAGCAGTCATGTGACCCTCCCCAGCAGTATGTTTTGGGTGCCCAGGGCAGCCAGCAGAAAGGTAAATCACAGTGGGGTAGGAAGCGGGACTGGGGAAGACCCTGCTCCCTACCCTGCACTCTCAACCCACACCTGGATCCCCCCACACTGAACCCCCCCACTCTTGGATCCTGCCTTGCTGAGCTGCCTGTCCACACCTGGTGCACCTGGCACGGAGGGGCAGGGCCCTGGGGGTTTCTGAGGCAGACCCGGTCCTTACGCTGTGTCAGGGTTGGGTGCAGCCTCACCGCTGTGTCCATATGGGGGAGCTGCACAGTGATTTCCCACCTCTGTGCAGCCAGTGGCCTGTGCTCTCCACTGCCATGCTGGAGCCTCCACATTTATTTGACAAATCAAATTTGCAGAATTTTGCAGAATTTTAAAATATTGTGCGCAGAATTTTTAATTTTTTGGTGCAGAATTCGTAATTTGTTGGCACAGAATTTGTAATTTGGTGCAGAATGCCCTCAGGAGTAGCATGTGTCCCACCGAGTTCTGTCCTTCCCTCCCGCCCCTTTCTCTCTCTGTGGCTGATCTCTGGCAAGGCTACGAGGGGGCGTCATCCCCAGCACTGGAGAATGGAAATCATAGGCTTGGCAGTTCCCTGGGCTGGGGGGGCTCTGAGTCCTTGCACAGAGCAGGGAGGTATTTCCAAGTGGACGGCTGCTTCTCATGGTTGTGTCTTGCAGCTCCCTGCACTGGCGGAAGGTGGAAGCGGAGTTCCCCCACATCTATGCCCACGGCTCCATCTTGAAGGACATCTGCTGTGACTGCACCAGCTTCGTGACCGATGTCATCAGCTCGAGCCGGAAGAGCATGGACATCCTGAACGCCACGCCGCGCAAGGGCAGGAAGACGCAGTCCCTCTACATCCAGCCCACCCACACTGCCAAACCCCAGTAAAGGACTCCTCTGCTGCCCCGCCGGGCCTGGCCCTGGGAGCTTCACAGGCACCAGGAGCCAGGCTCACAAGCAACTCCGCAGTGTTAGCACCTTGGCAGAAATTGGCTCTCCAATGAGCACACCTCCCAGCGAGCTGGGACTCTCTGGGCATCACCTCCCACCCCCACCGACATCCGTGCGCAAGAACCAAACCAAGATGGCTTCCAGATGACCCTGCTGCCTAAAAATTGCCAGCCATGCTTCCCTGGCATGCCGCAAACACCGCTGCTTGCCCCCAGCCTGACCGCTCGTGCCGCTCTTAGACCTCCATTGCGATGCCCTGCTAGTGGAGGTGTGCGTATGTACATAGATGATATATATACAGCTCTATATTTATAGACATTAGTGACCAGCGAGATGGCACCTCACAGGCTGCGGCTAGTGTCAGAAGCCACGTGTTGCACAGCCGGGACCCCACTAGCTCGGTGTCTCCCCATGGGAGGGCAGAAGGACCCAATCCCTTGCTCTGGTTGAGGATGGGCAGGACCCAGGATGTGACTCGGAGTCCAGCTTCTCTCAGCTCTGTCGGAGCGGGACCCGGCGTGTTTCCTTCCTTCCCACCTGGGCAGCTGGTCCTGCCCGGTTCCTCAGGGTCCCGGAGCAGGCTGGGGCGATCTGTCTGGAAGATGGGGACCCTAAATGTGTTGGTGGAGGAACTGTTCAGACCCTTCTGTTTACATTGCTTCTGACTCGCCTGGAAGGAACGGAGTCCTAGCGTTGGGCTGGGGCTCCTGGGCCTGTGTGTGCTGCTGGCTAGCACAAGGCAACGTGCTGGTTCTGCCATGTGGCCAAACCCCTGCCATTGGGATCAGGGACGCAGGCTGTAGACCCCCTCCTCTGCCCACCCAGCCTGGCACCGTTCCCCTCCAGCTCATCCCTTGGTGTCAACAGCTGCAGGAGCTGGGAGGCCCCCGGGGCTCAGTTCCCACCGAAAGCACCTGGCGGAGCTGGGCTGGCTAGAAGCCCTGGCTGCGTCTTAGGCCCTATGTTTGAATCCAGGGCATAGTGCTTGTGACGGCCCGAGCGCCTGTCCTGGGAGCCAGCGGGGGTGTTGAGCCTTGTGAGGTTCAGTGAGGGGGGTGCGTGGCCCTGCCCCGAGGAGCAGACTGGGGCCCCCTGCTCCCCATGGGGAGACCCCCTGTGCATTACTGAGAGCAAAGGCTTTTCATGGCTGCTTTCTAGCTCAGTCATTGAGCCGGGATCATGGGGATCTCCAGTGTCTGCCTGCCCCCACTGTTCCCTTCCCTTCGCTGCTCTGGCTGCCTGGTGCTGTCAGTGCCCCTGTCCCTGGCGGTGGAGCAGGCGCTGGCCGGATTTAGTCAGACGCTGGTTTTGTACCGGACACTCGGCTGGGAGTATGTGTTTGTCTTTGTGCTGCAAGGCTGCGTGTGGCGTCGGGGCTCGCTCCGGGCAGGGCTGGGCTGGTGGCCGGCTGCGACGTGTCTGAGTGTACGTGTGCGGCAGTGAGGGAGAGCAGCCGCAGGCAGCCAGGGCCAGGCTGGCCACGTGGTCATACAGAGCATGTGAGGCTGCTGCTTGGTTAGAATGAAGCTGGACATGCTCCTGTGGCCTGTGAAGCATCCCCTGCCCCCGGCAGTGCTCTGCAATTAATAGTAATAATACGGAGGAGGGCTTTGCACTAAGGGGGCTGCCCAGCCCCAGGGAGCCAGGCCATCGCTATCCCCAAGCACTGGTGGGAAGACAGAAGCACAGAGAAGGGAGGTGTCTTGCCCAGGCCACCCAGAGCACAGTCCAGTCCCGTCGAATGTATTTGTCTAGAGCATGCTTTGTGCGAAGTAGCCCGGCCTATGGAGGCTGAGTGACACCATGCCCTCCTCCCTGCCCAGGGCCAAGAGAGGCCTGGGGAATTGGGCCAAACAAAATCATGCTCCTGCATCAGGTTTCCTCGGTGGGCGGGTGTCTCCCCACAGACTGTGCCTGCCCACATGCTGCGGTCCAGGTAAAGCACCCAAGCCGTGTGAACTAAAGGGACTATTCCACAATGTGCCACCACCTGGGTGTGTTGTGTCTTGTGACTTGTGACACAGGGAAATACAAACTACACATGCCTACTAGGCCCAAACAAGTCCAGGGGCAGGACCTGCTTTTCAGTAGCTCAGAAACCACGGGCCCATGCCATGGAGTGCCTACTTTGCACTTTCACACAGGCTGACTACATGGGCAGACTGGGTTTTGTGCCTGCAGATGGCCAGACAGACACTCAGGCCTTGTCTACACTAGAAATGGTTTGCTGGTTACACTGGCAAACCCTTCTAGTGGGGATGCAGCTTAAACGCGTGCTTTGGTGGGATAGTTCATACCAGTTCCCCAAACAAAATAGCTGTGCTGGCCAAACGCCCCCTTTTGCTGGTATGACTGTCTACACTGGGGCGTTAGCCAGCCTAGCGAGGTCAGGTGGGAGAGGGACTTTTCACACTCCTAGCCAACACAGCTACCGCAAAACTTTGCACTGTAGATCAGGCCTCAGCCCGGCAACTGGCTCGTGCTCATAAATCAAGTCAGTAATTGCCAGTGGATCTCTGCACACAGCACAAAGGGACTGAGCTCTGGCAAACCAGGCCTGGATGGGAACTGGCAGCATTTGGGGGAAGGGGCATCCTCCCTGGGAAACTGCACAATGTGTGATAGGGGAAGCAAGGGGGACGCCCCTGCAGACTCCACGACCTAGCAGCCCCACTCCACACTGAAGAGACCATCCTGGCAGAAACCCCTGGTGCTCCGCTGCCCATGGGCGCTGGTTTCTGAGGTTAGCCTGCGTTGGTGCCACCCCGCTCGCTTCTCCCTGTTTTGACTCGACCATATTTTGCTGACACATAAGAACGACAATGCCTTATCATCCTGCCCACTGTCTGCAATAACTCATCCTCCTGCCCCTGTCAGCGTTGACAGGCCCTCTGCGAATGAGGGTGACTCCATGGCTGACCCATCGGCCAATGTTTTGTACACAGCCCATCCTGTACAGATGAAATGTACATTGTAAATAACGTGCACCTGGACTGGCATGGTTGCTCTTGTACATATGGTTGCTCCCATACTAATAAATCCCTATTTTGAGCTGCAGTGGCTGTTTCGTAATGCTTTGTCAGCACGTACTGATTTCTGGGCTGGGTAAGTGGGGAAGTTGGCGGGGTAGCTATGGGTGGAGGGAGGCCGACCCAGACAGCGCTGTAGCTTACTCCTGGGGGAATTTTGCGCCTCTGTGCGTGCGCAGAATTAATATCCCCCGCAGATTTCTTTGCTTTCCTGCAGAAAAATGACTTTCTAACAGGGAAACAAAGGGAAGCTGCAAGAGCAGTCACGCACCAGTCCCTAGCTGAGCAGATACATCGTTTCAGACACCCAGAGCAGCCGGCGGAGTGATAAATCACCATGGGGCTGGGGACACCCCAGCCAGTGGCTCCTACCCTGAGCCGGGATCAGCTGCTAGTCCCAGCTGGGCTGGAGGCAGGAAAGGACAGGACTTCCTCTTCCCCTGCAAGCAGTGTCTGGAGTTATCAGACCCACCCACAGAAACCTCCCCCAGCTGCAGGAAGCTCAGCATCCTCCCCTGCTTCCTTCCCCCATCGCTCCTCAACTGTAGGGGGAGGGGTCACTGTATGGGGAGCAGCTCCCCCATCCACCCAACTCCCGTGCATCCGGACCTCCCATACCCAGACACTGCTGCCAAGCCTCACCGGGTACATTCAGAACCTCCATACCCAAACCCCACCCCACTGAACCTCAACCCCTGCATCTGGAGCCCTCCTGCACCCAGACCCCCTGCCTCCAGACCCCCACCCCTGCCTCCAGACCACCCCCCACTGAGCTCCATACACTCAAACCCCCACCCTGATGCCCCACCCCCCGCACCACCCTGAGCCCCCCACACCCAGACCCCTCTGCTGAGCCCCAACCACCTTCACCTGGAAGCCCCTGCAGAGTCCAACTGCTCCTGCACCTGGAACCCCCAACCCTAACGAGCCTCTGTGCATCCAGATCCCCCCACACCTAGACCCCCCACTTAGCTGCCTGCACCCAGATTGTCCCACACAAAATTCTCTCACCACACACCTGGATCCCCCCACACTGAGCCCCTTCACACTTGGATGCTGCCTACCCCAGGGTGTTTCTGGGGCAAGCCCAGGCCTTGTGCGGTGTCAGGGTCGGGTGCAGCCTCACCGCTGAGTCTGTGTCCTGGGCGTGGGGGGGCTGCAGGGTGATCTTCCACCTTCCACAAGTCACTGGCCTGTGCTCCCCACTGCCATGCTGGAGCCTCTGCATTTATTTATTGACAAATAAAACTTGCAGAATTTTAAAATATTGTGCGCAGAATGTGAAATGTTTTGGCGCCCCCAGGAGTAGTAGCTGCACCGAGCCACAGAGAGCTACTGAAATGGGGGAGGGGGGAGGCGTCCAGGGCAGCAAGCTTGCTGGGCCAGCCCGCGCTCGGCTTGTATTGAGAAGAGGAAGGCGAGCGCTTTCCCCAGGAACTTTTTCAGCACCTCGTCCCTAAATTCTTATTCATGTTTCCTACGTATTCAGGTGTTTGTGTTGGAGTGCCAGCCAGAGGCCGCAGTCAGGGCTGGGGCCCCATTGCGCTGGCTCTACACACATACGTCCAGTGACACAGCCCTGCCCCATAGAACTCGCAATCGAAGAAAGGTCTCTGTCCAAACAAGCCATAGAGAGCTGCACTTGTTTATGCTATGGCTGAGTTTGGCGCCTTGTACGGGAGCCTTCGGCTTGCAGAGCGAGTGCCCTCCTGTGGTTACTGGTGCAGCCATTCCGGTGGGCAGCACTGGAACCCAGCAAGGGGCTTTTCCAGACCGGCTGAATTGCTTTGTTCCTGCTGTGGATGGCTTTCTCCTGTCGAGATGGTGAGCTCAGAGGTGGGGACAGGCTTTCCATACCAGGGCTGGCTGGTGCCCCCCGGGACCTGGCACTGTTGTTTGTGTGTGTAT